TAGCCATGACTTATAATGAATAGTAATTCACTGTGCGTCTGACTTAAGGGAACATTTGTTTCCTTGCTTTGAACTGCTTCATCATTTCCTTGTATATGACCGCGTGTATGGCCACGTTACTCTCAGTTACAGTTATTTTAACTAGCTTAGCAGATTGCTTAAACCAGTTTTTAATATACTTAAATCCTTGTCCTCCAAAGCATTACTTCGGAAACTAAGATACATGCAATGGTAAAAACCTGGGGAGATAATACTTTGGTAGGTAATATTTAACCTGCAGCTGGCAATATGTTTTTTACACAATTCATTTAGTATATCTGACCATATGTCGGAGCAAAGTTTACGAGAATAGGTTTAGAATGATGATGAATTGTTTTTGAACACATAAAGGTGGTCTAAAATTCCTAATCGACAGGGCTTCCAAAAACTGTCGGATACTCCTTGAACAGATTTGAAAGAGGTGTGAGCATAAATTTTATGTCCTATATATGCATATGTTCTTCAAGAGAACAGCTAGGTCATCTGTTCTCACCAGTAATGGGTTCTGGGGATTCCATATGCTTCTAAAGCCCCTACTTGCGGAAACCGATGAGTCATTCTTGTGTTTGTGTGACGACACATACTTAAATTGGCAGATACAGTGGAATGTGACTTCATTTTTCTTATAGGTCCATTTAATGTATAAGCTTAAATACTACACCTGTTGTTTTTTGCCTATATTTATAATTCTAGATAAAACATTAACGGTCAAGATACGTATCCTCAAACAGACAAGAAATCTCGTTTGTAAGACTACTACCCAACACAATAAGTGGAATAAAATGGACATAAACCAAGAACATGAAAAAGGTATAACTCACCACAACGTCACATGGGCAGATGTACGCTCGTTGGGCACCATATATCCCTCACCAACTGCAACCCACCTTTCCTTAGATAATGTGATGAACTTATATCCATAATGTTGCTGAGCAGTTAATATTCTCAACTCCTGTCGGAACAGCTGAAATTCATAAACCCTCCTCACTCTAAGAAAATACCCACAAGCAGTAGAAATCCATTAATTAATGCGCCTAAAGCTTATGTATATTTACTCCCAACAATGACATTGCAGATCAAATGAGATAAACATATCACTGATTTCAAAATAGCACATTAATGAACTATAATTCAAGGATTCTGCACACAACGAAGTTATGTACGAAAATTGACTTCAGGCTTTATTTTTTCCCCAGGCACTTATAATCCATCCATCAAAGACCTGATTTTTTTGTTAATGCGAAGACAATACTTCTGTATTTCCTGTCGTGTGGCACTCACTGACAATCTAGCAGATTTTTCCAACTAAGCACAGAAATGATTGTATATAAGTGAAAAGGCTGTTTTATACTACTGGGATTAACATTTATCAAGTGTATGTATAATCTCCAGCGAACACGTTAAGCATATCTTGCTACTGCCTGTAAATTGTGATTGAATTATATGGTTCTATTTCTGTAACAATTTGATGATGCCTGTAAACTGGCGTCCCTCATGTACTGTACTATGAGAATAAATTTATTTATTTATTTATTCTAAGGTTTTGAATGGATATATAGATTTCACATTTTCAATTAATCGGATCTTTGCTGCTTAACGAGTTTTTATGGCCGCAGTGTTCTACCTCTGTGTGGTAAGCTGCTGTGATCAAGCATGTGAGTTAGCTTGGACTTGGAGAATGAATTGTGGTACTCTAACCATTTAATACCTACATATGAACCTTTCTGGATAATTTATATTAGTCAGAGTTTCTTACAGACTTCTCCACCTATTTTCGAGCGTATGCTCTGTCCATATTCGTTAAATCCTCTTAAAGTAGTACCTCGTCAATGAAATTTTGTCTCGAATAGGAGTAGAACCGTGGTAATTAAGTTGATGTCTTTTCCATTTAGTTTTCCGCAAATAGGTTATTGCATATATCTGTCGGGCCGTCGACTAAACAATGTATGTTGGAATATAAACAGTTATCTTTCTCACTTACAGACATTAGCGATACGTCACCTTGCACTTCATTCATTTGATCTAAAAGTGGAGTGGCAGGACAAAGTGTATCACTTGTGATTAAGATATCGTGGACATACCTCCTTGGCACTTTTTCAGGCAGCTCTCCGGATGAGCTCTCAGTGCACGACATATAGATATCTGCTAAAAGAGGTCCTGAAGGTTTTTCCAAGGCAGTACCATCAATCCGATAGGGACAACATACCTAAAATGAGGACCTTACATCATCAATTCACAGAAGTAACGAATCCTTTAAATAGGATAAAGGAAACGGAAGTTGCAAATTTTGAGCATAAATGTATTCACCCTAAGTATCAAACCTTCTGAGCAAGGGTACATTAGTGGATAAAGAGTACATATCGAGGGAATGCATACTTTTAATTTGAATACCAAGGGAATATAAATGGGACCAATAGTTAAAAACTTCTTCCTTTTGTACTTATTTTGTTCCAGGAAAGCCCAATTTTCTGCTTTTCGTTTCCACAATCTCCAAGATGCAGTCAATCGTTGTTTTTGGTTGCACAGCCGTGTAGTGTCTTTTGATGAGCACAACTCAGCATCTGATTTTTCATAAAGTCCAAAATTAGATAAGTTTATCTGGTATAACATACAGTGGTAAAGATCAATAACTGGATGGCATTTTGGCCACAGTCTATCGCTCGTAACCATATCAATCTTTTCACATGGTTTCATTATTGCTTCTTTTATTTTCTACCTCTCTGGCTTGTTGTTTGTTGCAGTCCTCCGTATCTCCGAAAAGATAACGAGCCATTTCCACTGCACGTGTTCGATGTCACGTGAACTGTTAACGAAGCTTTGGAAAAAGCCTGTTTTCATTCAACCGGATGGGTCTCTAACAGTGCAGACGTTTTAAGCAAATAGTGGCAGAGGGTAGAACCTAGGAAACCAGTTAGTTGGGCTGCTTGAACAGATTTGAAGTCGCTTTTGGTTGGCTTCAAATGGGAATAACACTCTTGATGGCTATGTGGCTACCTGTCCTTCTAGACCTGGGCTTTGGACACAGCACCTGCTGACTCTTTAGCCTGGTCGGGTTGTTCTTAACACCTCCAAAGCTAGTGAGGGGAAATATAACACATGTGGCTGCCCACAGATGTGTTTATTGACGACAATGTGAAGAGAGTATGAAGGTATGCAACCACACAACGAAGGCATCAAGCACCTGTCCCTTAAGCATTCAGTCGCCAACCATGCGTTTCAGTCCGCAAGGATATACAAACTGATCACTGGTGTCCAAATGATTTGGCGAACTTCTTGGATCCCATACGAAAGAGCCTCCTGAATGAGGCGGTCCCAGAGGTGCCTGCATAATGCCTCAAATAATTAACTTGACTTACTTCATCATTTAGTCCATTATCACCAAACATGAGTCACCGAGACATTAACCTGAAAGAGAATATTACCAACAACTTTTATCCAAAGAAGCAATATTGGTGCACATCAATGAAACAAATCGAAAAGCCAACAAATCCAACCAGCCCACTATATCTGAAGACAGAAGAACTTAAACAAATTACATTTTTAAACGTTAATGGGGTGAAGCAGCATGGAATTTCCAGATAAGATTGTGAGAAACTTTCAATGGGCCAATCTGAGTAGCCGTAAAGTTATTCCATTATGGGTAAATTTTATTTTAATAAAGTAAAGTTATGGGGTCGGAAAGGTTCACTGCTGCAGGAAGGTAAATACCTGCAACTCAGGAAATTCTGTGCATTAATGAGCACGATTCAAACTCACACGTCATCAGGAATCGGAAAGATAATTTGAGAGTTTATATTTCCGTCCACGATTAACCGATGCTACAAGATTACTGATACACAAAGAGGTTTATCATGTTATTGACAGTTTTCACTTAACTTAGGACTATAAGTGAACGTTTATATATATACAATAATACTGCCGTTCGTATTTCTCCTGTCGACCAGTCAGCAAGTAGGCAAAGACGGAGATTCCCGCCTTCAATGAACAAGTCACCAGTTTGAATAAACAAAGACAAAGGATACAACTTCAACATCCATACATGACATTTGAAAATCGAAATCTTATTTTTAATATAGATTTTGTCACAGATCAACGTCATTTGGAAAATATCTGAGAACCAGATAGCGTTAGATAGTCGTTTCGTCAAAGTTTGGCACAGTGGTTAGGACTCTCGCCGACCATGCACATGGTCCGGGGTTCGATCCCCTGCCGGCGCACACCCGATATCTCTGGTCGGCCTGCAAATTTGGGCTACCGATATCCATGGTGAAAATTCCATACTCCGACTGAAAATACGGTGTGGCATCAAGCTGTAATCAAAAGTAAAAAAATAAAAAAAAACGTTCGTCTGCCAAAAATCACGACTGCACCAGGGATGATATCCGGGCGCATCAGTCGGCCACTTGCTGCTGCTGGATTCAACATAGAACTTGGCACCGAAGTCGGCCACTTGGGCTGGAATTCAGTAATACAAAGGTTCAAAATGACAGTTTCCTCATTACGGAATCCTGTTCAGGGTCCATTTAAACAGACTCTGAGAAATGCCAATGGTTGTATCGCCCAAAGCTTCGTTACTATACGTGCACTGAGGTGAATATGGGAGCGGATCCTACATCATCAGTTATACTTACGACAAAATTATGCAGGAAAATTGTGCAAAATTAAAATACATGAAATTAATGGTTAAAATCTTTTCTTGACCAGTAACCTCTAATGGTTGTCCGTATTCTTTTGAGAAACTGAAAAGTAACAATACTTTTTTCCTTTCTGAGAAAGAATTTTGAACTGTATAATATGGTGTTCAACAAACTTGTGATTTTGAGTCACTTTTCAGAATTTGTTGACAACTGAATGAACGCTAGATAGTTTTTTAAAGCACTGTATATACAATAGGAGGAAATGAAGTATTGCCTCATACATTTGTTTTATAGTATCGAATTACTCTCAACCTTGACGCAGATGCTGTAAAGCGCTGAGTTCATATGCACATGGTAAGTTGGAAGATAAATCAAGTAAATCCTAAAAAAGCATGGTATTAATCATTTTTTGATAAGGGTTTCAGCACATTTTATCCCTCACATTTTTAAATGATCATAAGCAGTATACTCTACTTAAGAAGTGATTTGTAAATAAATTGTAATGCATCGTGTTATAATAAAGCTTGCTATCTCGAATAAAATTGTTGCATTCTCATAGTTGGTTAAGGGTATGTAGCGTGTTGAAATTACTATGATGAAGTTATGCATTAGCTTCTGATATCAATGTTATCTATGTGGACAAATCACAAGCAAGAAAGATAAGAAAGTGTTTTGCAAAAACCTTGGTTGATATAACATCTAGAACTTCATCTTCGTTCATTTTTTGGCAAGACTAAAGTTAAGCGATTCAGGTGAATTATTTACAAAATGACCTGATCTTGTATCTCAACACTGTGTGGGTGACAGATAATTAGGTATGACCAGTTATTTTAATTCTCGGGATATTAAGAGTAGGTACATCCTAAGTAGTTCGCAGTATCCTACTCACTAGTAAATCGATAAAGTAACACTCCAATTCAAACTATTAATGTAAAGCAAACTCATGACTAAAGTTTCTTGCGAGGCCTACAAAAGAAAGTTGATGTCATGCTATAAGACGGTTGAATTTACAGATAATTTTAGTTAACGGTTTCATCTAGAGTTCAAATGCCCAGAAATTTTTCGAACTCTGCCACTACATGCTACTAAAGCGTACCACACGATTAAAAATACGTAGTCGGGTACATAATATCACAGTAATAAATGTTAGTTCACTGTTTGACATATTTCTAATTTGGTTAACCTTTTTGTCGTAGTTCGTTATCGGTATATCAGTGTAATATTGTTGTATCACATCTGGCACTGTAGCTCATTAAAGTAGGCATTTGTCTTTCAACGATTTGACCACATGCTTTCACACCACGCCTATCTAGTTTGGGAATGGCATATTGTGTTATCCTTTCTGTAATTGATGTGACTCATTGCCATATGCTAGCTATTACGTGGACAACAGTGCATAAGCGGTTGTTAATACGGATCCATTTAGATAATGCATCTCCTGTCTTAACACCTTATTTGACAAATACGAGCCTGATGAAACCCCGACACTGTTGCATCTCCCTATAAACCCAGATGAAATATACCATTTTAGCTGAGAGTTGCAGAAGTTATTCAAAGTGCTTCACTGAAATTTTGTATGAAGATTTCAGCCTAAGCATATATTGGTGGCAGAGCTTTCCATGGTTTTGTTCAAACCTTGCCTGACGTCTTATTTGCTTTAATATGAAAATGTTGAAGGTAGGTAAGTCGATCATTGCATTTAAAGTCAGAATAACCATTTCAGGTCTCGCACCGGATACCACCTTTCTGAAATCAGCTAGCTATAGGCTGAGAACGGTGCAGGTTGACAGATTTTAGAGAGTGATGAATAGCTTAAGAAAAAGTTATCGACAAATGTAATGATACAATACAACGAAAGAGTTCATATTCAGGGAGAAATAGCAATATGATAGTAACGAATTAATTGACTGAATATACGACTGAAGAATTTCCAGTTGCGATAAATTGGAAGAAATGAGTTTAAATCTCCACTAAATATTCGTTTCAAATTTTTTATGAGGGCTAAGATATTGCCCTGACATCCAGACCGAAGCATGTTGTCTTAAGGTACTACTCCGAGCGTCTGATGTAATCTGATCCATAAACCAGAAGACCAAAGTCAAAGGTTGCGTTCCTTTCTGATTTTGGAGTCCATGTGCACCACAGGTTTGCAGTCGTCGACTTCTCATGCGTTCTTTCAAGAACAATGATGAATCGGACGTCTGGAAGAGGTCATGAATCAATGATCACATAAGTGTGGATCGATGAAAACACCAAAGTTTACCATTTTTGGGTCGTTCCAGGAGATTTATTGAAGGGCTTCATTTATGTCTTAATCATTTTTGAACACTGATTTTCGTAAAGTAGGGTAATCGTCACAAATACAAGGCCCATCGATAGGCTTCACAGTGATGATGAGCATATTTCATATACAAAATATGCCTCATGTTTCCAGTTTCTTCTTAGCATCCCAGCTCTATGTCAAGGGCTGATTTAGTAGTGTATATAAACAGTTGTTGAAGTCCAGAACTGGTTTAAAGTTGGTCGAAGAATCTCAGTGTACTCTAAGCTGAATATGTACATCAATCACATATTTAGTCACAGTTCCCCCGAAAATGATTACAATCAGCGGCAACAAGTACGTAACTGATTGGTTCTGTTGTATGTTTGGACGAAATGCTACCGTTTCTCAATAAATGATCTCATCTTACATCACCGTCTGCAGTTGTTGCTTGTGTTCTCTAAGTGCCATCTCAGCACTTTCATCTCGTTGATTGTTCTCTAGTTTTGAGAACGGATGAAATAAGCGGATAGATAATTAGCTTGTGAAATGTATAGGTAGAATGGTAGTTCCCTTGAGTTGGCATTATGACATTTTTGGAGTCAGGTTTGGTTCAGAATTCCAGGCTAGTTCAGATAATGTTGCAGCTCTTGTTTCTTCGGTCATTGAAAATAATACAGAAGGATGGACGTTTTCTTGACTGTAGCACATAGGACTGATTCATCGTGCTATTTCTTAACCTCCTTCTTCTCCCATTATTGGTGTCGTATTTTTTTGTGTAGCTCGTTTCTTAGTGTCTATATAGCCACCCCTTCGTTTGCCTCTGATAAGCAATAGGGCCGTGGCTACTTACCGACTTACCCCTAAATTTCAAACTATTTCACAGAAAAGGCCTGTTGCATCTACTTACGACCTCTGACATCTTTTTTTAGAGATTGAGGCGTTATTGTACGTGTTGTATTACATTTATTAAAAATTACTGTAAAACTATATCATCTAAAAGTCAGATAATATAAGAACCAGTGATCTTCAACATAAGGATATGTGCATATGTTAGTTGTCGTAGTTATTGCCAGAAGTCACTTGGACATGTTTTATGCCTCAAATCAAGAAGCTGCTTTCATTTTGCACAGAAGATGCTTTTAATTTAGTATCACTATATTTTCATTGTAGCTCAGATTGTTTCAATAGGGAAAGCTAATTATAATCCACAAAACAGATTGAAAATAATCTCAATAGCCAGTGTGCACCTTTCATCACAAACCTATCTGCGGCAATTTCTTTATATGTAACTTAATAATCATATCGGAGCGCATTTAGAAAGCCACCAAAAGGTCGATTAAATACTAACAAAGCAGACCATTAAAATGTACAATATTAGAATGTATATTGGAGAATTACTGAAACATTAGACTGAATAACTTTATAAATAAGTTTCAAAATCTAACTAAATGTATTTAAGCTAACGATAACCGTCTTCTACTCGTGAGTTTAGTGTAGTAGCTGGAGTAACAGGGAATTCTTTATCCAACTGCATCTTGACAACACTTCAACAATAACGTTATGGCTATGGTTACGAAAAAGGTTTTGGAAATCTTTGCGTTCGCTGTTACGGTACATGTAAATGACAGTCTTTAATTACTCTTACACCTGGTTATTCATGTTTAAAAAAATAAATTCATATTATTTAAAGTGCCAAGAGTAATGTTATCTACAGTCGTTGCATTATTTCCCAGTAGTGCTAATTGATGTAAATTTTGTAGCAGTATAGTTGAGTTTTAAAGTCGTGCACCACATACTGATGTAATATCTACCGGATAGATTTTTGAATAGCATGTATTACTTGCAATCACACTAATTAATCCTATCAATTTGATATGTTTATGAACAGTAAATTGTACTAAGAATGTCATCTAGAAAATAATACCTTATCTCTGCACACTGTAGCAAAAATAAATAAACTAAGGCGAAATCATCTGATTATTTTATCTAAATGATACCTTCCTGAGAGGTAATATGAGTCATTTGATCTAGCTTGGGTGCATCACCTACTTCAGTTAGAGTGACTGTCCTTATGTCTCAACTTAGGACATAAAAGGCAAAGAGTTCTAAACAACAATACGTCTGCGTGTACATCATATCTTAGAAATAGTCACATGACAAATACTAATTTCAGGATTTCATCGTGAACTGACATCGGTTGGAGGACCGTTGGAAAACCACCAGGGAGTACTGGATAGCTGTTTCGTCCGCCTAGTTTGTGACTCTTCATCAGTACGCACTCACCGACAGGAGTAGAACCCAGGACCTTCCGGTGGTTACAAGGTGAGTTCGTAGACCATTAAGCCACTGGGACTCGGTCCAATGTTCAACCTATGAACTTCAACTTCTGAGAATTCACGATATAGTGTGAACACTAGCGAATGTCATCGCTGGTGAGTATTTGCCCTCACACTCAATCTGTCGTATCCCACTGGTCATGACTTCCCACTGGAACCCAGGTAACTACCTACCTGAATAAGGCCAGTCACTAGTGGGCATCAGACTGATATTTAATTGGTCGCTCTATATCGTGAATTGGTAGGACTTGAAATTCATGAGTTGACCATTGGATCGGGTCCCAGTGGCTTGATGGTCTACGAGCTCGCCTTATAACCACCGGAAGGCCCTGGGTTCAAACCCTGTCGGTGGATGCGTACTGACGAAACAGCTGTCCAGTACTCCCTGTTGGTTGTCCACTGGTCCTCTAACCTATGTCAGTTCATGATGAAATCCTGATATTAATCAATTCCCTGCAAATCAACACTTCAATACTAATTTCTTCAAAATATTGAAGCATGCATTCTGCTGTATATTTCCTTTGTGTACTTGTTAACGAGTGTTTCTAACTGTGATGGATTTCTAGGTCTAATTCACCATACTCTTCATTTTATTTTCAATAAGTTGATTTTTTTAAGTTGGTGCTTATTCATTGCTTTCTGTTTTGAAATGTCATGGACACATAAAGTAGTTTTACAAAAAAATAAAACACAGGCAAAGCCAGTAGTAAGGAAAACTTCCCGTCGGTATTTGACTCATTCCTAATAGATAACAGGAAATTCAAGGAAAGTATGGTACCCCATGCATGATGAAAGCTTATAAGCAAATATGAAGCTAGCTGTGAAGGTCTAACGAAAACAAGGTGAATTAGAGATGTGGTGCTAAAAAAGCACCAATCACTATTAAGGGAAGAAATCTAAGAGAGGTCATTTTCTTCACTTATCTAGACGACGTCCTTTCAACTATAGACGATTGTTACGAGTGAGGATTGCAAAACCTGAATCGGAAATCCAAAGCTGACCTTCATCACTCTTCTGTACTCAGTATAAACTACAAGATCCGGATTTTCGACATAAATATGAACCAATCAACAGCCTATTGCTCAACAAATATGCCTTAGAAAATGAAGGTAGATAAAACACACACTGAGAAGGACTGTTGGGTGACATTGTGCTCAATGCAGGTCATCGCTTGAGTGGAAGCCGAATGAGAAACAACGAGTTGGGCATGAGTCCGATAGTGACATGAAGGAGACTGTGTCAGGAAGGGAGGAAAACTTAATGAGAAGTGGTAGGGTCAGCTGAAGGGAAATGCAGAGAACAGAATAAATTGGAGATGTGTTGCTAAAAGCCCTATGTTCCAATCGGAAGCCAAGGGAATAATAATAATACTAATAATAATGAAAACAGTACTATAGATTCCAGTTCTTAGCCATGTGAGATCTAAGTAATATTGTCCGTAATCATATGTTAAAAGTCGAAACAATTTCTGTCAATTCTCCAGTTAGTGTTAACTTTTAATGGGATCTATCAGCTGAACTTTGTTATGAAAATTAGGAAAAGAATTTTTTTGAATAAGCGTATATCATTAGTTGAGTAGTCGATATCATCACAGCAATTATATGTACTATAGATTCACTTGTGCAGCTCACTTATTTAAGCTATGTTATTAATGATATTAACGAATATGCTCATCTCACTTACTTTTACTTTACTTCGGCTATCTCCTACGGGAGGATGAGCCGGCTTCATGAACATCTCGAATCATGGTGAGAGTCGTTTGTGAGGGAGTTCATGAAGTTTCATGGGAATTTGGTACGAGTGATGTCCCCAGAATCGCTCGGCCTTTTGTTTGAGAGTGCAGCTCTAGCCTTTACACAACCAAGTGTGACCTACAAGGCAGTAGGAGTGGAGTAGGGAGTCCACTATCCATTGGCAGCCGCTGACCGGAGTTCGGTTCATACGCCTTTTTGAATGGGGCCAGACATCCAACAAGCCCTTTGTCCATAGGTCTGCTGGTGAGCTCCAGTGAGCTTCATACGCCAGTCGTTGGAGGTTTGGAATCAGGGTTTAGCCATCTCCCCTAGACTGTCATCCAGTGGACAGTCAACCCGGTGAAGAGCGCCGGGCATCCGCTTTCGCCCTCTCACTTTGGTGAAAAACACCTCCGCCACGTGAAGGCAGTGAGTAGGACTTCCTCATCTCACTGCTGAGCTTCTAAAGTCGGTATATGAAATTTAACTTTTACTAGTTTTGTGCATTCTGTCTAATCTAAATGTCTAACTTTTAATGTTTTAGGCTGTACAATTAAAGTCCAATACTGAGAGTCTTCGATCAGTTTTCAACAAGGTTAGAAATTGTTTGTTTTTTTGTTGTTTTTGTTTCGATATTACTGATTTATTTTGATTATTGTTATAATGGAGTGATGTATACACTGGGCTGTGGATTCGTTTAACTTGACTAGAATATGCCTCCAATATGCCCCGATACTATAATTAACTGATCAGTTGAAAATATCTTCCACACTAAGATACACACAAAAGTTAGATTGTGAAAGAAGAAGAAAAGGACAACGGGAATCTTCATTAGGCAAAATTCATGGTGTACTATATTTACAGAACTATCAGAAATTTAGGCCATAAATAAAAAAAAACAAATCTGATTGGTCGTATGACATCGAAATCCCTTAGAATATTAAGCCATAAATGAAACAAATAGAAACTGCTTACATATTTTCTATTGGTAAAAATGTCCATAGACAAATGACCTTCAGATAAACTGACTTTAATGTATGTAAAATTTTTGACTATATATTTTGATGATTAATAAAAATCCGAATAAATCTGCTGAAGAAGCTGTGGCTTACACAGCGAAACGTTCAGAGAAATCTTGTTTTGTTTTGCTTAACACGCTGGGATTAATTTGAACAATTTATAATGAAATAGAAACTGTTCAATAAGATTATCATGTCAGTACATGCATAAATCACGACTTCACAGGTAACAAAGGAGCTTGTCCATCCAGTGGTATAATGTCTAGAAATGAGTTTGTATTTTCGTGCATGTTAAATAGGTGTGTCATTGGACATATTTTTTCAAAGATAGAATATTTCAAGTATTGGTTTTTTGTAGGGATTTTGTTTGATAGATTGGTTGTAGGATTTCATCATGATCTGACATCAGTTAGAGAACCATTGGAAAACCAACAGGGAATACTGGACAGCCATTTCGTCCTAGTTCGGGACTCTTCACCAGTACGCACCCATAATTCGGGGTTCGAACCCACTACCTTCTGGTTACAAGCCTAGCTAGCTCGTAAACCATTAAGCCACTGAGACCCGATCCAATGACCAACCTATGAATTCTAACTTCTTCCAATTCATGACGTAGCGTGACCACTTTGCCATCTCTTCTTCGATGAGTTACTGCTTCACCTTCAGCCTGCTGTACCTTACTGGTCACGGCTTCCCACTAGAACCCTAGGTCACTGCCTGAATAGAGCCAGTCGCTAGTGAGCATTAGATAGACTTTCAAGTATTGTTTTTTTGTAGGGATTTTGTTTGGTGGATTGGTTGAAGGATTTCATCATGAGCTGAAATATTTCATTCGTTTAGTTTCGTCGTCAGATGTTATCATTGTTCTAGAAAAAATAATACAATATCTCTATCGGTATCGTATTAGTTTTATGGTAGAAAGTCTTTCAGTATGCGGTCACTCGCTTAACTGGTACCGAAAATAGTAGTAGGTCACTAAAGGTATACATAAAACACCCGCACCCCTTAGAAATGAAGCTGATTGATGACTATTTCAAGGTTAGTTTCATCATGGATGGGTATTCGCCAGAAAATTTGTTGAAAACCGAAAAGTATAGTTTTGTCCTAGTGCAGGACTCTTCAACAGTCCTCACCCATAAGCCCCTAGGGGTCAAAAATAATGTATTGGATTGTTGACAATATTTATTGATAGAAGATGTCAGTATAGAGTTTTTTCAAAAGAATTTCCAGAAAAATTGTATATTTAGCTGTAATACTTCAATCTGAACTGTATATCTTATTAACAACCGACTGTTCCTGAGCTACTTAGGAAAAAAAACAGTGGAAAAGTAAGGTAGAATGTTTTTACAAATGAGCTGCATCTATTTTTTTGAGACTGATCTTTTAACGACAGAAGATAAGGGCCAGGCAACAGATCGTTTATTGAGGAAATCAACAGATATTTATAGATTTTTATGTACATTATTATTCGTTATTATTAGCAGAGAAACAGCGTCTTCTGATTGGTCGTTTTCACTGGAAGTTATTCTGTCATCTCTTTGTGGCCGTTTCTTTGAAGGTCAGACGATATATCTGCTGCGAAATCGTATCCGCCCACGCAAAGTCTTTGTTCTTGTTTTTTGCTCATGACCAAGATTTGGGACGTGTAAGCATTGACGTGAATTGCTGTCTACCAATTTTGGCTAGCAGGGACAGCTCTCACCACAATCTTACTATCTAGCCGCTCATCAACTGTTAGCATTTCCATACTATTGGTAATGAGCAACACCTATGTGATACTATCAGAAGGCTACCCACACACTTGGATAGATGGAAGTGCGTTTCAAAGTGGCGAAATGAACTGTTGAAAGTTGAACATACACCTAAACCAATTGTGCCATTCAAATTCTCTAGTATATGGATGAGCAATGGTCAGAGTTTCGCGTGCATTTCGGATTGTGAGGGCGATTGTTACTTCCCGGCTGCCCACACCGTGGAAGTTGGTTGCGTGACCGCAGAGCCCAGGGGACAACTGCTTGAGGCCGGTCACACGCGGCCTGTTTTTGTTTGTTCTTTTTTATTTGGTGTATCTCAGTAGCATATTTATCACTTCTGCCCTGTGACACGGCAGCAGGAAGCGTGGTCGTTGTTAATCCGGGCCCCGACCGATCCGGCATGATATTTTGTGATTTTGTTTGAGTCATAGCATTGGATTGGGTAACTGATTTTTGTCTAACCGCTATCCAAACAACCTTTCTGGCATGGTAGGACCTCAAGCGACATAAGTCTCAGCCAGTATAGCTTGTTGGGTCATTGCGGTGTTCAAGCCCGACCACCACGTCAAGGTAGCAGCTTTCGGTCGGGAATGGTCAGAGCATTTTATCTTGTAACTTTGAATACTTATCGTATCATTTCGTCAGATGTAACATTTTATTATTATTTCTTTTCCATTTATCTCATATAGTATGCCAGTGTTAACACTAATGGACAATTGTATATGACACCGAAAGATTTTGTTGTCAGATATTTACATTTATTCGATGAAGAGAATTATAACGACTCATCAGTGGCTTGTATTGCCAGTGCTGCGGATACTACGAAAGATGGGTAACTAAGGTTATTATGATAAATAATTTCTTTTGTTTATTTTTTTGTTTGTTTTCATTTGGTTCTCTACGTTCAATATATATTGCTATTAACTACTAACTGCTTTGATTTTAGGTTACAGGGAAATAACACAAGCTTCTGTCCATTCATCTGTAATATAAAATAGGTAGATCAAGGCACTGTACTCGAACTCATGCAGTCGCCAGCCAGATGAGAGCTTTCGGTGAGTTGTCATCTGAAGTTGGTGACAACTAGTGGTGTCCGTCAGGGAGGGATGCCCATTATCCCAATTTCTATTCAATTTCATCATAGATGTACTGATGGAATTAACCCTAACTGCTGACTTCAGAGACTCAGGGATTGATTTGTTACCGTCAGGGAATAATCTCGTTGACATAGAATATGCAGATGATATAGGCCTTCCTCCCAGGTGAAGACGCTGACAAATTGCAGAGTCTTCTGAACACCTTGAGCTGCAATCTGCGAATGTTTGACATGCGATTCGCTCCCGCCAAATGTAAGATGATGTTACAGGACTAGACTACATTGACTCCTAGCTTAGAAATAGGTAGTGAAGTGGTTGGCGGAGCGTGTTGACCGCTTCACTTATTTGGGAAGTTGCATTAGCCAAAGCCAACGGATTGATCTCTGACGAAATCTCAGCACGGATACAAAAGGCTAGTTTCGCATATGCCACTTTACGCCGTCTCTGGCGTAGACGTGATATCCGGCTGGCTGGCTGTTGACCAAAGGGCGTGTGTACTGCTCAGCAGTCCGCCCCGTCCTCTTTTATGGCTGCGAGACCTGGCCATTGAGAGTGGAAAACATGAAAAGGCTGGCTAGCTGTCTTTGATCATAGGTGCCTGCGTTCTATCTCCCGTGTGAAGTTGTATAATAGGGTGAGCAATATTGAGGTTAGGCTTCGGTTGAGTGCTAGGTAAAGAGGGGAAATCAATCGACGAGGTTACGAAGTTATATCGACTGAGATGGTTAGGACATGTTTTACCCATGCCTGCCTAGCCATCGCTTTCCTCGACGGACAGTGTTAGCTGACAATCCACTTGTTGTAACCATTTCCACCCCTTAAATTGTGTGTATTAATTTTCTTCGTTAATAATCCCCCGACCCCACGCTTGACATGTTGATACTGATTAATTATTGTTAACAAACATATCACCACTTGATTGGCAAAATGTTGTGTATTATATTAAAAGTGCTATAGAGTAGAGCCAGAGAGAGATGAGGATCTAATTGAAAAGTAAATATTTCTTCGCTCAATCCTTTTGCCTTCTAATCAAGCGGGGTCAGTCCATGGTAGGCAAAGGTTGAAGTCTATTATTTCCTGTACACAAACAGTTTGAGATGCATGTGAATTATTTATCCAAAGTGATTAATTAAAAGACGGTTGCAGCGAAGGAAATTCTCTTTTCGACGAAGTCGTCAACTAGGCTGTACATTCGTGTACGTGGGTGAGAAAGTTCTAGAACTATTTCCGGTCAAAGGTCAAATTAACAAAATTACAGAATGTAATAAACAGGAAAATCGAATAAAAAAGCAACCCAATAATAGAGATAGGAATTAAAAAGAATGTAAAAATAATTAAAATAAACAGGAAGGTTGGATAATAAAGGCAATGGGATAATCATTATTGGTAGGACTGACTTTTTATGATGGCCATGTTTTGGATAACGGTTGAACGTATTTCTTTTGAACATATATAGCATGGGCTATTACCTTTCTTATCCAACCTTCCTGTTTATTTCTGTTATTTCCATGTTTTTAATCCCTAATTGTGCACCAACAGTCTAATTTTTTTTAGTAATTATGATCTTACCATGTCTTTTGTTTTACCTCATCTTTCTGTTTATTACACTTTGCAGTTTTATTAGTTTGACCTTTGATCGGAAATTGTTCCGGAACTTTTTCATCCACTTACTATATGTATACACGAATGTACAGCCTAGTTGATGAATTCGTCGAGAAGGAAATTTTCTTCTCGGCTGCAACTGTCTTTGTTAATAATTCCTATGATCTAATGCGTATATTCCGTGATTATCCAAAGTGCTTCTATCACATTGAGTTAAAGTTATGTGGAATAACTGAAAAACAGTCACTAGTATTGATTTTGTGGCCAGAAATCAGCGGATGCTTTGCAATGGATGACGGTGCTGGATTATCTACGTCACTTAACAATCATTTAGGAATATTCTATTATTGGTTCTACCTAAAATATGTGTCACCGTGACTGCTGAGGAACTTGTAGATACACAGTGTGAAGTAGAGTCCATAGAAATTCGTCGATTAGTCATAGACACAGAAAAAAAAGGATGCTGAGTAGAATGCAAATTTGATAGGCTAACCAAAGCCTTTGGGCTGTCAGTTTCATGATTTGATCACCCTTGAATAATAACAAAAACAGTTTTCTTTGATACGTAGGTTGTCTTTTCAAGGGACAATCTCTCCTTACTGTGTCATATATAATGAAGTTTTCAGGATATCCATTAGCCAACAACATAACTCAATGTGAATATGCAAGGTGTAGCCTAGCTCATCCATTAATGTACCATGTATATAAATTTTACAGGCTTTTGAAAACAAGTGATTTCACTAGGGAACATTTATACTGGATAGATACAAGACTGCTGAAATGACCGACAGATAGCTGGTACCTTGACGTGGTGGTCGGGCTTGTAGGTCCTACCATGCCTGGAAGATTGTCAGGATAGCGATTAGACTAAACGTAGTTACCGGCATTGTGTAAGAATTTTCTGTTACACTATGCTAGGGGTCTGCGGGCAAAATCATACTGCTGGGGAACAGGGATGTAACGGAAGTGAGGTGTTTCCCTCAGATGACCAGCATACCAGCTATGGTCTGTCTTTCCACTCTGGAGAGAGGAGGTTAGAAAAGGTCAACGTCAAAAATCGTACATTCCGACTTACCCTACAGTGGTTCGTAACCGGCGGTAAATAGGCCGTGTGTAACCGCCCTCAAGCAGTTGTCTCCTGGGCTCTGCGGTCACGCGACACTAATTCTCTTCCTCTTTCAAGTACCCTAAGAAAAAATCAACTTCCAAGGAGTGGGTAGCCGGGAAGTAACAACCACCCACACACACACACTTCGAAAAGCACACAAAGTCCTTCTGATCACCGTTCTCCTTTATCCCTGTCACTCTCATCATCTTGCTTCCCTACTACTGTGAGTACTATTCTGTAGGCTAGTCAGTGCACATATGTACTTGCAAAATATACGTCTCTTAGATTGTTCCGTTGTTCTGTTCTTAAACTACCAACTGTCACAGACTATAATAATAATAATAATAATAATAATAATAATAATAACAATAATCAAAATATTGAAATTGAAAAACAGCCATCATTTTGCTTCTGACTTTTTAGCACAGATTTTTTTTGTCATTAAGTATATTCACTTAATTCATGAGACAAATCACACATTACTTCTCAATATGCCCTGATTTTAAAAGTTCACTTGGCCATAAAAGAAAAACACAACAACATTGCTTTATGTTTATAAGGCACATACGTCTACAAAATAAGCTGAAAGACAAGACAGAAAGAGAAAGACTTTTGACCTTTTTGGTCAATTTTATATCATATCTATCATACGCGTATTATTGAAAATGATAGTTATGACGACTATAATCTCTAACATACATGTATTTATTGATTATTTTTGATTGATTTATTGATTGATTGTTTAGTTAATCGGTCAGTCTGTCTGGTTCTTAGTAATACTATTGTCTAAGTTCTATTGATAAAATCTATAATGAAATATAGTCACTCAATTCAAGTGACTTTTCTTTCCTCTTGTGAATGATCACTAGCCTTGTTCCCCTTTGGTGTAGAAGGAATTTTTTTCGAAAAGCACGACTGAACACGCATTTAAAGTTGTAAAATACGACAAGTTAATTGAAAACGCTGACCTTGAAAATTTCATCACATTACACATTACCAAGAAAGTAGAAAAGGAATTCTTCTGTATCTCGGAATATACACATTTTATCATAGGGAATAATAGAAAGACAGTTGCAGCGAAGAAAATTTTCTTTTTTCGACGAAGTCATCAACTAGGCAGCTGTACATTCGTGTATTGATAACAAATAGATGGGAAAGTTTCTTAATCCCTGTCTACACTACCATATGTGCGTCGGTGGCACAGTGGTTAGGACTCTCGCCGACCATGCACATGGTCCGGGGTTCGATCCCCTGCCGGCGCACACCCGATATCTATGGTCGGCCTGTAAATTTGGGCTACCGATATCCACGCTGAAAATTCCATACTTGTACTGAAAATACGGTGTGGAATCAAGCTGTAATCAAAATAAAAAAAAATTTAAAAAATATCCACACTTCCTGTTTATTTTGTCATTTTACTATTTCTGCATATTTAATCCCTAATTGCATAAACAATTATTTTAGTTTTTTATCCAAACATCCTGTATATTTTGTTATTTTTTACATTTCTAACCCCCAATTGCACAATGTCAATCATCTTAGTTATTATAATGCTACTTTGTTTGAGTTTTACCCATCCCCCTGTTTATTATGGCATTCTAATTCCTAATTGTCATTTTTATTAATTTGACCCCTAACCAGAAATTATTCTGGAACTTTCCCATCCATTTGATATAAATACACGAATGTACAGTCTAGATGATGACTTCGTCGAAAAGAAAATTTTCTTCGCTGCAACTGTCTTTTGTATCTGTTGTTAACAAGAAGCCTCTCTGTATGTGTATATTACTACAATTCAAAGGCGGGGGGGATATACTAAGTGAAATAAATAGCCAATAAGTTGAAAGGATCGATTCGGAGGATTTTCAATACCAGTAAGCTGCAACTGACGTTGTCCAGCCGTTTGGTTATAATTCTCAAACTGAATGACCAAGTGCCAAGACTAGCCAATTCCTTTACTGTATTTATCGATTCAGCTGCTCCTATGGAGCCAGTTATATTGGTCACTGCTCTAGGAACTAACATTCTCATGCTCGGAAACACTACACTCACCACTAGTGTGTGGTTGTGTGTCAGATCGCCTCGTTCAAACAAGACACAAAGCTAACTGGCCACATTTGATAAGTTCTTCCCTATCATTTATTGCGTATCGAATAAATTACCCAAAGGCGTCTAGATACCGAGTACTTGAAACAGCAGATGCTATTTCAATTCGCCTAAATCAACCAGAGCTCTATATGCAAAAGAAACGGGTTGAGTCAGTCACTATTTCTACCCTTCTTGCCTGCTGTCGAACCTCTAAATTCATAAATTCTGTATTATCACTTCTCTTGATTTATTTGATTTTCAGTTTGGTGTTATACTTATACATATTGTCTCTGTCTTACCGGTACTTTTGAAATGTAATCACCTATCGATACTACTGATTCAGTGTAATTTAAGGTAGCATGAATGTTGTTTTGCGTTGAAGTTTTTGTAGCAATTTGGTTAAGTATTGGGGGTGGAGTTGCTAGCACTACGCCCCAACCCTCCCTCTTTATCCGGGCTTGGGACCGGCTAGAAAACTAGTGACCTAGTAATCTAGGCGTTTGGAGTAAACACAGGAGTCACACAAGGGTGCTTATTATCACCAACGATATTCCTAATTGTGGTGGACTGGATTATGCGTCAGATAGTGGGAAACGAGAAGACAGGGATATCCTGGACTGACCGACGTGAACAACCTAGAAGACCTGGATTTCGCGCGCGGATGATTTATGTTTGATGTCACACAAAATCGAAGACTTACAAGCGAAAACCGACAAACTGGTCGAAGAAGCAGCCAGAGAAGACAGGACTCCAGGTGAACATAGACAAGACGGAGGTTATGAAAATAACCAACCAACAACAACAACAGCAGCAACATCCAGCGACAATCACCATCAACGGGAGGGATTTGAAAGAGGTTACTTCATTCACTTATCTAGGGAGCATTGTCTCAACTACACGAGAAACTGACGGACGAGGATGTCAAATCGAGAATCGGGAAGGCGAGAAACACATTCATCAATTTGAAACCAATCTGGAAATCTTCGTCACTCAGCCTGCATCAACAACGAAATTCGGATTTTCAATACAAACGTCAATTAGGTCAGTTCTTCTATACACATCACAAACTTGGCGGGTCACAAAGAATATTTCCAACAGCCTGTTGCAGACCTTTATCAACAACTGTCTTCGTTCTATACTCAAGATCAGATGGCCGGAAAGAATCACCAACAAGAAACTATGGGAAGAAAGAAAACAAGAACCAGTCGCCCAACAAATATGCAGGATAAAGTGGAGATGGATTGGACATTCGATGAGGGGGCCGCTGGTTGACATCGTGCGTCAGGCCCCCGAGTGGAACCCGAAAGGGTAATTGGCGAGTGTGACGTCCAAGAGTGATATGGAGGAGATTGTGTGAAGAGGAGTTGAAACAGTGTGGACTAACATGGATGCTGATGAAAAGTACAGCAGAAGACAGAAGCAAGTGGAGACGTGCAGATGAAGCCCTATGTTCCACTAGGAAGCAAGGGAACAATAATAATAAATAATAATAATGAATGTTGTTAATCAGAGTATTTCTTTAATTGTTACTGTCATGCAAATGTGGAATCTGATGAAGAAGATGTTATCAGAAAGAATATTCTTTTTGTTCATTCATCAGTCTTCCAAATTTCTAACGGGTATCTTCAGTGAATGGTAAATATATATATTCTCCTATATTCGCTTGTAAATAAATGACAAGCTAACTGAAAGATAACAAATGACGTCATTAACCTGAGGTTATCTAAGCTGCTACCTTAATTGATTAGACAACTTTAATGTTGCGAATTCAGTCCATCAATTAATTAACAACTTATACGTTTGTTTATACACCTGATCAGTGACTATCTAACTAAAAAAACTAATCTTTCAGTCCACGGATTGATATCAGTTAGAGAACTATTGGAAACCAGCATTGGATTATTCCACAGCCGTTTCGTCCGCCTAGTTCGAGACTCTTCAGCAATTCACACCCACTACAAGGATTCGACACCAGGACCTTGCAGTTACAAGGCGAGCTCGTATACCATTCAGCCACTGGAACCCAATTATGATGCTCGCTAGTGACTGGCTACAGGACAAAGTGAGTTGCCTGAAGTTCTAGTGAGAAGTCATGATCACTGGGATCCATCTAATCGGGATTGAGGATGGAGTTCCCACCGATGACGTTGGTTGGTGCCAGTCGCGCTAAAATCACGAATTAGTAGAAGTTAGAATTCATGGGCTGGCCATTGAATCAGATCCCAGTGGTTGATTGTTATATGAGCCAGCGTGCCTTGTAACCGGCAAGTCGTGAGTTCGAAAGGTGGCGATGGATGTGCACTGCCGACGAATCTCAAACTAGAATAAAACAGCCGTCCAGGACTAAAGTGCTGGTTTTCACTGCTCCTCTCTCTAATGTGAAACAAATAGAATCCCTACACACTAATTCTTGATATCTAATCTTTATCACGAAAAGTTGTGAATAATCATCAAAACTATTTGCAAGAGGTGATTTTCTAAGAATTGGAAATTAATCTGATGCTCACAAAATGAATTTGTCTGAAATTCTAGTATGAAGTCGTGGCCAGTGGGATCCTCTAAGTTGGTTGTGGAAAAGAAACACTCTCCGATGATATTTACTGTTTAATCGTGCTATATTTTTTTATCCTGAAATGGACAGAAGTTAGAATTTATGGGACGGCTATTGGTTTCTGTCCCACTGGCTGAAATGGTCAACGGCTTTCGCCTTATAACCTGAAGGCCTTGGGTTCGAACACCAGTAGCTGAAAAGTCCTGAATTGGGACGAAACAGCTGTCCATTACTCCAAACTGGTTTTCAATGGCTCTCCAACTAATATCAATCGGCGATCAAACTTGAATAAAGACTATATGGACACGCTTTATATGTATTTATGATAAGAGATAAGATAAGATGGGGCAATTCGAATGGTGTATGCGATGATTGTAAAATTTCTCTACTCGTAGATAAATAACTAACATGATGAGTTGGTTTGTTCACTGTTGTGTATCTGAATCGGGAAGGCGAGAAACACATTCATCAACCTGAAACCAATCTGGAAATCTTCGTCACTCAACTCAGCCTCAACAACAAAATTCGGATTTTCAATACAAACGTCAAGTCAATTTTGCTTTACGGATCAGAAACTTGGCGGGTCACCAAGAATATTTTCAACAGGTTGCAGACCTTTATCAACAACTGTCTTCACTCTATACTGAAGATCAGATGGCCGGAAAGAATCACCAACAAGAAACTATGGGAACAAACAAAACAGGAACCAATCGCCCAACAAATATGCAGGATAAAGTGGAGATGGATCGGACACTCGCTGAGGAGGCCGTTGGGTGACATCGCGCGTCAGGCCAATGCTCGAGTGGAACCCGAAAGGGAAGCGGCGAGTGGGACGTCCAAGGGTGACATGGAGGAGATCGTGTGAGGAGGAGATGAAACAGTATGGAATAACATGGATGCAAATGAAAAGTACAGCAGTAGAGAGAAGCAAGTGGAGACGTGCAGTTGAAGCCGTATGTTCCACTAGGAACCCAAGGGAACAATAATAATAATAATATCTGAACTTGTCTGCTGATCTTTTACATGTGTTATGAATCCCTCCTTCACAAAGGCGGCGGGATCAATAAATGAGAAGTGTATAAATTCTTCTATTTTTTGATTTTTGTAAGTATAATTTACTGTGCATTTATTACGTAATGACATTTGGTTTTTCTTTCCCCCCACCCCCATTTAATAGACTGATTTCATTTGAAGAATTTCTTGCCTTTGAAGCGCTTCTATGCACTTGTGATTCTTTGTATACATGGGCTTTTAAATTATTCAATCGAGATGGTCATGGAAGTATATCATTCGGTAAGTAGTAGTAGAATAAAGAAATTGACGAAGAATGACCGCTTTTTTTGGTTTTATAGAATTCATCCTTTTGTATACTTCTTGTTGACTGGTATAGAGTATGCTGTGGAAGATGGACTTTGTACTTGGCAATACTCGTCATGAAGGTGTATCTGGTTATTTCTTCGCTTAGATTTGAACGGATATCATTCAAGGAGTAAAATCAGAGACGTTACTAATGAAAAAATACTCAGGCTCTTGATTGAGCTTCTATAGGACTGACTGTAAATGGATACATTGATATACTCACGGAATCGGTCGGTCAGTCTGTTTTTGACATAGAACTTTGCACCGATGTGCGGCAGTTCAAGTCGCCACACTCCCTCCTTGTAGCACAGAAAGGAAGAGAAGAAAGTAGAAGAAATGCATAATATAAACAGTAAACAGAGGTGTGAGACAAAGGAATAGTAATAACGAAGAACAAAACAGTTTTTGGAAATCATAAGTCACAAGAAGTGGATGCATCTGCGCTGTCATTGAGAACGATTTCGTGCCATGTCACCAATTGTTTCCAACCATTGGTTTTTACCATCCCGAGGACCCCAAACAGGAAGTCTACACCTTCCTACGTGGCTTAGACTGACTGTTGTGGATTTCATTGACTGGTGCCATGTTTTCGTTTGACCACCACTAGCCGGCTCTTTTCCAGCCTGACCCTATGTCAGCTAACATTTCCCGTCGAGGTAGGCGATGACTAGGCATACGTAGCACATGTCCTAACCATCTCAGTCGATCTAATTTCACAGTCTCGTCTATTGATTTCCCCACCTTACCTAGCACTCGACGCCTAACCTCAATATTGCTCACCTTATTATACCATTTCACGCGGAATTCTGTCTATCATTCTATCAGTCAGTCGGTCAGCCAGTTTAGAAATCACTTCAAAGTGAACGTGGTGATGTTGAGTCATGTAGCTTCGTCGTGACCGACCATATTAGAAACTTGACTGGTAGAATTCAGTCTGTACTAAAAACTGAGGAATAGAGACTCAATGCTGATTACGTCTTAGGGACTAATCAGGATGAATTGATGTCGGTTAGAGGATCATTGAACAACCAACTAGGGAGTAGTACTGGACAGTTGTTTCTTTCGTCCTAGTTCGGGACTCTTCATCAGTGCACGCCTACAAGTCAGCCCATGACGGATCAGACTCAGAATCTCCAAGGTACCAGGTCAGGCTAGTTGACCATCCAGCCAATCGGGATGAAATTCATCGACCCGTGAAATCTAACTTCCATCAATTCGTGATATATATCACTCTATACTCAACCATTATAACTGACGAGGATATCAAAGCAGCGAGGATCGGAAAAGCAAGACAAGTTTTCACTACTCTTAAGTCTGTGTGGAGGTCAACAGCACTCAGCATGAAATTGAAAATAAGATCCGGATTTTCAACTCCAATGTCAAGTCAGTGCTACTCACTATATGGATCAGAGACTTGGCGTGTCATAAAGAGCATCTCAAACAAACGACAGACCTTCATTAACAGTTGTCTTCGCTCAATACCACTCAAGATCAGATGACCGGCCAGAAAAGATCAGCAACAGAGATCTCTGGGAGCGAACCAACACAGCAGGAACCAATTGTGAAACAAATAGGCAGGAAGAAATGGAGATGGATTGGCCATACTCTAAGGAAACCATCAAGTGACATCACACTACAGACCATCGCTCGAGTGGAACCCGAAAGGGAAGCGGCGAGTTAGTCGTCAGTGCAAGTGTGACTTGGAGGAGATCATGTAAAGAGGAGATGAAAGTGTGTGGACAGACTTGGAGTCAGGTGAAGACTCTAGCAGAGAACCGGACGCAATGGAGACGCACTGCTGAAGCCCTATGTTCCTCTAGGAATTAAAGGAAACAATAATCAATAATAATAATACTCAACCATTGCATTTGATGAATGTCCACTTTACCTTGATATGGTGAACTTCACTGCCACCACTTCTCAGTACTGCTTCAGGACATCCATCCAGTAGTAATGGTCAATGAGTTGGAGATTGACATTTTTGATTATGGGTTTTTTTGGGGGGGATTTGAATAAATTTCAATGTCGATCTCCCACCTTAAAGATCCCGTGTTCTCTCTCTCTGTGGTGAGGTCATGGGCGTGCGCTAATGAAGAGTCTCAAACTGGGACGAAACAGCTGGCCAGTATGCTCCCTCGCTAAAAAAGATCTCTAGCTGATGTCGGTGAACATGCTGAAATCACACATCCTTTTTGGATTGAGGGTTTATGTGACTTCATCAACTGACTTACCTGCCTTTTTATATAGAACATTACGATATATTTTCATGTCTTTAACTATGACATCATTAACAACAAGTGGTGTGGAAGTGTGGTCTACTGATTTAAGCACACTCAGTTTGGGGTCAATGGTTTCTGGATTCGAATTGTGGTTCACCTACCTACCTCAGCAAGTAGAGTTGTGGCTCGTTGGTTTAATGTGTTCAGCTTCCAACCAAATGGGTCACGGGTTCAAACATCACTCCACTTACCGAAGTTTGGGCAGCCGCGGATAACATAACTAACCGTCACATGGAAGATAGTGTGGTTCATCGCCAACTACAAGGGGATATTGAGCGGCTGTTTTGTCCGCCTATTTTGGGACTCTTCATCAGTATACAGCCACCGACAGGGTTCGAGCCCGGGACCTTCTATTGGTCACTGGGACCCTATCCAATTCACGCTGGTGAGTATTTGTCCTCACACCCTCGACCTGCTGTAACCCACCTGTCATAAATAATTTTTCACTGGAACCCAGGTAACTGCCTACCTGAATAAAGCCAGTAGTCAGTAGTGGGCATCAGATTGGTATTCAAGCGTTGGTTTGCAGGTGCCAGTGGCTTAATGGTCTACGAGCTCGCATTGTAGCCGGAAGGTCCTGGGTTCGAACGTCGGTAAGTGCGTACCGCCGAAGAGTCCCAAACTAGGCGAACGAAATAGCTGTCCAGTACTCCCCAATTGATTATCCAATGGCCCACTAACCGATGTCAGCTCATGATGAAATCCTGAAACCAATCAAATCAAATCCCTACAAACCAACACTTGAATAGCAATGAAGCCGTTTCAACAGTATTTTCACGAGATTATTAAGCAAGTATTAGATATCATTTAGTGATGTTTGGTTTGGAGATAAAATGTTCAACTCCTATATTATTCTATTCTATTTTAATTTTTCTCTCTTTTCCTTTGTTTTATTTTCTTTTTCTTATTGTAGAAGATTTCAAAAATACACTTAATCTGACAACAGTGAATAAAAATTTCGCCTTCAATTTCAATTGTGATTTTATCAATTTGCATTTTGCTCAAGATAGATCACGTAAAATTAACTACGATGAATTTACACAAATAATTCATGTAAAGTAAAAATTAAAATTTTAAAAATTTCAAAATGCTTTTCAAACCATTAGGATTTTTATTATTTTTATGTTTTTTTGTTTTTGTTTGTGTTCAGTTGTGTGTCTTGTTAGGGGTAATCATATATACATGAGTACCTCGCCGGTAGTTCATCGAGATAATTCTCGTCACTCACGAAGTACGTGGTCTGGGTTCGATTCGCAGCCGACGCACCCCAATAACCTTGCACATAGGCGGTGGTAGTCAGTCCAATAAAGAAGGAAAGCTGTGTGTGTGTGTGTGGCTAGTATCCCCCACTCCGTAAAATGAAATAACATCACAACCACTGGAGACTTCACTTCATAACTTGACCTCGAAGCCCTATGTCCTACTCGGAATAAAAAAAACAAACAAATCGTGTATGAAGTATTACAACTTTGTATTCAGAATTATATTCAATAATCAATCATGTTGATGGTTGTGCTGAGCAGTAGTCACCTTTGTTGAATATGCATACATTCTGTCACTATTGGCTATAAAGTTACATAGATTGAGATGGCAAGGTCACGTGCTGCGCATGCCTAATCATCGCCACCCCCGACGGGCATTACTAGCTGATATAGATGCAGGTTGGAAAAGAGTAAGTGGTGGCCAAACATAAACATGGCCTCATCAATCCATGAAATCCTTAACAGTTAAACTGAGTCAAGTAGGGAGATGCAGACTTCCAGGTTGGGACTCTTGGGACTCTAAGAATCAATGGCTGGAGACAATAGGTGACATGGCTCAAAATCGTTGTCAATGGCTTACGCGGATGTATTCAGTCTCTGTAATCTTTCATATTCCCTTCTACCATAACTCATTCTGTTTCACTCTTATACTTGTCAAAACTCTATTGATTCTCTTCACTCATTTTCTTGTCTACCTTTGTGTGGTATTTGGAACGTGGCAACTGGAACTTCTGCACTTCGGTGCCAAGTTCTATGTTGAATCCAGACAGACAGACTGTCACTATTAGTCTTTCTTAACATGTGTTCATAATCATTTACTTCAATTTAGATTTTCCCGTAGATTGATTGAATTAAATAGTTAACAAGACTTGTTACATAAGAGGTGGCTAGCTGTCGTGGCCCAAGTGGTCTAGTGGATAACGCTTTGACATTTGAAACTATGAGCACTGGGCTCGAGCCTCTGTGGGGACATCATCACTCACTGTGGAATACAAGCACATCCAGCTGACAAGTCACACGTAGGACGAAATGCACATTATCCTGGATTACACTACTAGTCACCATCAACCGATTGACTTCAGTATACATGATCAGACACCGTCGAAGCATCTGCACAAGGAGCTGACATGTCAACCTTAGTTCGAGTACTCTGGTCTAATTAATCGACGGGAAAATCTAAATTGAATTAAATAATTAATAATATGACCCGTTACACAAGAGGTGGCCCAAGTGGTCTGGTGCATAACTCTTTGGCATGTGCTCATAATCTGTTATAAAATATAAGATTTTGTTCCAATCACAATATGGTGTTGTTCACCTGACACATGAGCTACTATAGAGGGATTTTCTTCTATTAATGTATCTATCATTATTGTTATTGTTCTCTTTGGTTCCGGGTGGACCATCGGGCTTCAACAGCACATCTCCACTTTGTCTTATCCTCTGCGGTCCTCTCTAGTTGGCCTTGAAATTGCCCATAATCTCTCATCTCCTCCCCATACAACCTCCTCTATTTCACCCTTCAACCAACGTCCCACTCGTCTCTTCGCATTCGGATTCCACTTGAAAGTCTGGCGTGCGATCTCATTCGACTGTCTCTTCAGTGTGCTCCCAATCCATCTGCATTTTCTTGTCGATATTTGTTGAGCAATAAGTTCTTCGTTTGCGTTCTTGTTTGTGTTCAGTTGTGTGTTTTGTTAGGGGTAATCATATACATGTGTACGTCGTCTGTGGTTCAGTGATAGGATTTCTGTCAACCAAGAAGCACGTGTCCCGAGTTCGATTCCCGACCGATGCACTCCAATGACATCGCGCATAGGCGGCAGTCAACCCAATAAAGAAAGAAGGTTGGGCGTGGACATCCAGTTTCCTCTCCCCCAAACACACACACACTCCACAAAATGAAACAACCACCAACACTACTGAGACTTCACTTCATAGCTTAACCTTGAAGTCCTATGTTCTCCATTCGGAAGACAAGGGAATGAATACTATCGTGTATGAAGTATTTTAACTGCGTATTCAATTATTTGTTTGCATTCATAATTATATTCAATAATCAATCATGTTGACAGGTTGAGCTGAGTAGTAGTCACCTTTGTTGAATATGTATACATTCTGTCATTATTATTAGTCTTTCTTAACATGTGTTCACAATCGGCTCTGAAATACAAAATGTTATTCCAGTCATAATATTGTGTTCTTCAGCTGACACATGAGCTACTATAGATGAATTTTCTTCTATTGATGTATTTATTATTATTATGATTATGGTTCCCTTGAGTTCCGAGTGGTACATAGGGCTTCAACAGCTCGTCTCCACTTTGTCTTATCCTTTGTGGTCCTCTCTAGTTGGTCCCACGACTACCCATAATCTCTCACCTCCTCCCCGTATGACCTCTTCTATGTCATCCTCAGATACACACCCCACTCATCTTTTCGCATTCGGATTCCTCTCGAATGTCTGGTGTGCAATGTCATTCGACGGTCTCCTCAGTGTGTGCCCGATCCATCTGCATTTTCTCCGGGATATTTGTTGAGCAATAACTTCTTGGTTAGTCTGTTCCAAGAGTTTCTTTTTGTTGATTCTCTGTGGCCATCTGGTCTTCATTATGGAGCCATCGAAGACAGGTGCTGATAATAGTCTACAGTAGGCCTGTTGGAAATGTTTTTCCTGACCCACACAGAAGAACTGATTTAACATTTGTTTTGGAAGATTTCTGTTGATATAAGGATGAAACTTTGACACTGTGGTAGAGTGCAGTAGCATCACAGAACAATTTGATTTGATAAATAGCACATAGTGATATGGTATAATTTATCGATGACATTTTGAGCACAGTTTATTGCTTTAAATCATATCAAAGCTCTACTCATATAACTTTTAAACTTAGTTTATATAATCCCATCACTTCTTATCCTTTAATTTTATTGGTTCATATCTATGGTATCGGTATTGCATCATTCCTATTGCATGTGTTGTATATAGTAGATTCGATAAACACAGATTCAGTGTTCCGATAACTTGAATGACACATGTAGTTGATCTCATAGTCATTATAGGACATTTTTTATAGTTATGCATTGTCTAGTTGTGTCTGTAAGGTCCTTTAGCCTACATAAATTGTCCTTGAGTGAGATTGTAGGTTTAAATACTACCCTAGTTCTTCTGCCTTATTAGTAATTCTACGTTAGGTTCGAGATGTCCCATCATTATGTATGGTAAAACACTGTAGATGACTTCAATTTTTTTCTTATTTATGTTATGATCAATAGCTTCGACACTATTTTCCCCCTCCCCCTTTATTAAGAACTTTTTGGAAGTGTGTTGTGTAGTGTATTTTATGGAATAGTTATTTGGCACCAATGCTCTTTCCATCTGTTTCAGTTTGTTTCACTTCTTCTAAATTTTTATATTGTTTTGTCTACCTCATTTAATCTTTAGTTGAGGGTTTGTGTTTATCCTATTTATATTTTGAATGATCTTAATGTCTGACCTATATGGATTAACTGGAGAGGCAGCACACACGACATTTTGTAAACTACGTTATTGTAATTCAGTTTATTTATTTTGATTGGATCTTTTTATTGATTTATTTTGTTTGAAATAAGATTTCTCGACGAGAAAGCAATATCAGGTGATATAGGATTAAGTTGGGAACTAGCTAAAAGTGGTGTGGTCAAATAGAAACTTGGCATCAATCCTCCTCTTTGGCTGCCTGTGAGTTAGACATCGCCATTGAAAGTGAGAGACATGAAAAGCCTCGCTAGCCAGCTGTCTTTGATCATAGGTGTCTGCATTCTATTTCCCGTGTTAAGTGGTATAATAAGGTGAGCAATATTGAGGTTAGTCGTCGAGTGCTAGGTAAGGAGGGGAAATCAATCGACGAGATTGTGAAGTTACATCGACTGAGATGGTTAGGACATGTGTTACTCACGTTTGACTAGTCATCACCTTCCTCGACAATAGGCAATGTTAGCCACTGACATAGGATGGGTCAGGCTGGAAAAGAACCAGCTAGTGGTGGTCAAACCAAAACACGGCTTTATCAGTCAGTGATATCCACAACAGTTAGTTTAAGGCAGTCAGCCAAACACTTAGGCAGGTGTAGACTTCCTGACTGGTTGGGGTCCTCGGGATGGTAAGAACTAATGGAGGTTGGAAAAATTTAGTTGATATGGCTCAAAATCCTCGTTGTCAATGGCTGGCGCAGATGCATTCACTCTTTTGTGATTCGTCATATCCAATAAAACTAAGTTGTTCTTCGATATTACTATTCCTTTTGCTTCACATTTATGTTTATCTCTGTTTACTCTCTCTTCTGTTGCTTTTTGTGCTACATGGAGGGGACTGTGGCAACTCCAACTAACGCACATCAGTGCAAAGTTCTCTGTTGAAACCAGTCAGTTAGTCAAAGTCCTTTGACTGTTAGTTTGAGCAAGTCACGTAGGTAGGTAGGCGTAAACTACTTAGTTGGGGTCCTTGGGATGCTAAAATCCAATAGCTTGAAATTATTGGTCCAGATATGGCTCAAGAATTCATTCACTCTTTATAATCTTTCTTCTGTACATTTCTGTTCATCATAATTCTCTTTAGTATCCTTGTTTTCTCTGCGTTTATGGGCTGCATGAATTGTGGCAACTTGAATTACTACACTTCCGTACAGTAGCAGTTTTACGTTGAAACTCAATTAGTCAGATTTGTTGGTTGAAAATGTGACTGTGCTACCCTATTTCTGAGTTGTTTTGTTTGTTTGTTTGTTTGCTTGAAATTTGTACTCGCTTCGAGAC